ATAGACAAATTTGGCTAACGTTGTTTACATCGTTGCTACCCAATCGACCTTTCCAAGGTTTCTACCGCCATATTGCAGGGGTGCAAAAACATTGGGGCGAACGCGCGGCCACCATTGGCGCCCATACTATTTCCTATTGAGTGAGTAAAAATTACCTTTTGACATTTTGTCCTTTTTCTCAAAACATTTCTATACAAGCATATCCAATTTTTATTTTTAGATAATCGCTGTGTTTTTTCTGATATGTGGCCGAGATTTCTTGCTAATCGAAGGACAGCAAGTAATAAAAAACGGCGGCTTTTATTGTACAACTTGACCGACGTTTGAGCGATAATTTTTGTACAAATATACGAATATAAACAGTAATAATGGCGGACACTAAAGGACTTACACACTTAATGGACAAATATTCTTCCAAAGATCGGTTAAACAAACGAAATAACAAGAATCATCGCTCAAACGTCGGTCAAGTTGTGCAACAAAAGCCGCCGTTTTTTATTACTTCTTGTCCTTCGATTAGCAAGAAATCTTGGCCACATATCAGAAAAAACCCAGCGATTATCCAAAAATAAAAATTGGATATGCTTGTAAAGAATTTTTTTGAGAAAAAGGACAAAATGTCAAAAGGTAATTTTCACTCACTCAATAGGAAATAGTATGGGCGCCATTGGTGGCCGCGCGCTCGCCCCAATGTTTTTGCACCCCCTGCAATATGGCGGTAGAAACCTTGGAAAGGCCTATTCGCAGCTTTGGATAACTCACATGCCTAGTTACTATTGTTCTGGTTTACAGAAGCATAGACTGAATAGAACAAAAGTAACTAAACATTAAACTTATGCATTAAGAGTTAGTTACCTTTGTTCTATTTTATGCTTTTGTAATCTAGAACAATAGTAACTACAGTAGGCATGTGTTTCATATAAAATAGTGAATTGGGTATAAACAAACGTTAAATTACCCAGATTTGTCTAATCGAGCGAGACTTGGGTCAGTACAGGGCCAGTACACCATTTTTATAAAAATAGCAAACCTTCGGCTAAACAGGATTCTAATTATCATATTGAGCGAGATCAAAATCAGAGGAATTTCTGCAAAGTGCATTAAACCATATTATATAATAACTACAGTGAAACACGCAATTTGATTGGCTAATAGCCGTGCAGGATCAGGCTATCCTGCACGAGGAATTAAAAGGCCTTCGCGGGATTTTCGCGTGATTCTCAAAATGTCATTGTTTCACTGGAGTTGTTTTATAAAACAATTACCAAATGGTTTTCCAAGCAGGATAGCGTGATCCATGCACTTGGGATGTTGGTCGACTTACGAAAGCTTAAAAATACACTCGCCTGCGGCTCGAGTATTTTTACGCTTTCCGAAAGTCTCGCGACATCCCTCGTGCACGGATCACGCAATCCTGCACGGAAAACCATTCGGTATTCCTTTATTACCTGCAGCACTATTTCATGACTTAAACATCGCACAGAGACACTTATGTAAGTTTTTTACTCGCATTGGTCGTTCAGACATGCACCTCCCACCGTGGGAGCGGCAGATCAAAATCATAATCAGGAGATTATGGCATTGTGTCAATGTTTTTGACGAAGTTCGTATTAAAATAACCAATATATATTTAATAACAGAAGATATAAGGGTTGTAGACATCAGCATAATCGTTGTAACTGTACTACTGTATGTAAATGTAATTAGTGCAAGTGTAGGTTAAGTGTAAATGTAAAGCAATTCGAACTCAGGAATGTTCTGTACACGATCGCTTGTAGATATTGTAATTATATTTTCACAAAATTGTATATATTCTTTTGAACAAGCTAAGAAAGTTTACTGGGTAATAAATCGGCTTATTTTAACTCTTCAATTATTAGTGTCGCTGATCAGCGAACACGCGAATGTAAACAAACAGCTAAAAATAGACCCAATTTGGAGATTTATAACTTTTCAGAAAATTGCTTGCAGACAAGTTTTATTCCTGATTACTTAACTTTAGTAGGTATACTTTCAAATTACATGCCTTTTGAACTTCAGATAGGTGCCACTTTTGAGCTATTTTAAGTAAAATATGAGCAATTTTCAGCCTCTCGCCGCCATCTTGAAAACGTAGTTTCGTGAAACTATAACAAAAATCGTATTAAGCAAATAAAGTTGTTCAATCTCCATGAAAACGAGAGTATTAGTGTTAATCTTGCATGTGAACAGTAACTGGAGGGGATAAACGCATCACAACGTTTTTAAAAAATCAGATGAATTCTTGTAAAATTCCCCTTCATTTCCGGTCTGAAAATACTCTCGCAAGGTCAAATTTCAACATGGGCTATAAGCCTATAACTCCTATAAAACAGAAAGTTGAAACGTTCTGAAAGAAGCTCGATTAATATTGACCAAAGTCTAGTTCATATGCAAAATATTAGCTAAATCTATTTTTCCTTCCCCAAACCAGTGGGTGGATTTTACTGAGTCCTTCTTAAGTCCTTCACCACTCGTGAAACATTCCTTACAAGTTGTAACGAGTCGTGAAATTTCACGGATTTAACGAGTCGTACGAATTTCGTCAGGTTCACCACTTGGCTGGGTGCACTCATAAGTCCTTCACGACTCGTTAAACATTCCTTACAAGTTGTAACGAGTTGTGAAATTTCACGGATTTGACGAGTCGTACGAATTTCGTGAGGTTCACCAGTTGGCTGGTGCATTCGAGTCCTTCACGACTCGTGAATTATTCCTTACAAGTTGTCACGAGTCGTGAAATTTCACGGATTTAACGAGTCGTACCAATTTCGTCAGGTTCACCACTTGGCTGGGTGCAGTCTTAAGGCCTTCACGACTCGTGAAACATTCCTTACAATTTGTAACGAGTCGTGAAATTTCACGGATTCAACGATAAGTTCGTGAAGTTCACCACTTGGCTGGTGCACTCTTAAGTTCTTCACGACTCGTGAAACATTCCTTTCAAGTTGTCACGAGTCGTGAAATTTCCCGGATTTAACGAGTCGTACGCATTTCGTGAAGTTCACCACTTGTTTCCTGCACTCTTAAATCCTTCACGACTCGTGAAACATTCATTACAAGTTGTAACGAGTCGTGAAATTTCACAGACTTAACGAGTCGTAGGAATTTCGTGAGGTTCACCACTTGGCTGGTGCACTCTTAAGTCCTTCACCACTACTTGTGTGAAATGATAACCATTTTTGTAAAATATACAGTCAATTTGCATCCAATTTGTTTGCGAATTTGCTTTAGAAAACGCCAGAATTGCAGTTATATAGAGCTTCAAAATGGAACAATTTTCTGGAGGAGGACCCCCAAACCCCCGTTTTCTCTCGAAACTTAGTATGACAGTGCAAGTCAATCACAAAAAGCTTTATTATAATTATTACACTTTAGGTAAAAATTTATTAATTAAAAATTCAAATTTCATGTAAAATTTTCCGACACCCCCAAACTTTAGATGCTTTGCTACGTTGCTGTAGACTGACGTGTACAATAGTCGAAAAACTCCCTAAGAGAAATTTCCCTAAGAGATTTTTAAAATGGCCGAAAAAAGACAAATTTTGAGCCTTATCCTAAGCACGTTGTTGCCATGGTAGCTGACTTTCAGCATAAAAGTAGCACATTGCAATGTTCAGGAGAGCATTGTCAATGTATCCAATAAATTTCGTCTTCATGTTATGTAAAGTGAAGAAACAGGTGTTTTCTAGATACTATAGTGCAGTATAATCATAGAAATAATAGATATTATTTCTAAGTATAATCATAGAAATAATAGATTATCTATTTTTAATAGATAATCTATTATTTCTATGAGTAGAATGCAATAACCTTAGGGAGCCACCTTAAAATAGCTTTTATTATTATTTTAATTATGATTTTTAAACACAGAAATTACTCGTGGTCATTCGTGGTCACTCGTGGTCATTCGTGGTCACTCGTGGTCATTCGTGGTCACTCGTGGTCATTCGTGGTCACTCGTGGTCACTCGTGGTCACTCGTGGTCATTCGTGGTCACTCGTGTGTACTTTTAGACAAGATCAAATAAACCATGTGTACCGTCTGCGCAATGAGGTGTATATAAGCTTGCAAATTATGGCAGTTTTGGTAACACATATATAGTTCGTCGCTGTGGTAGCGACACGCGTACAAAATACACTTTGAAATAGCGTATTGCTTTATGTGTAGTTTCTAGAAAAAGAAGCAGAGTGATCCCAAATTTTTTTAATCACTATTCTACTTAGAGCATAAACTAACAATCAACAAAATATAAAAAAATTATGTATAACGCCATTTTTTAATTAAAAAACCGCAAAGTACCGTTTATTCGATAATTTGTTTTGGCATGCATTACAGAATTCATTAAATTTTTTATTTGGTATATTGAAAGACTTTTGCAGTAATACAGAATGTAAAATTTCAGCATGCTGTAGATTAGCGGAGAAAATAATGAAATCTAGCTATCGCACTTTTGAAAAAAGTTGGCATTTCCAATGACGCCTGATATTGCCTATAACCTGAAGTTCAGGCCCTAATCACAGAATAGGGCCTGACACAAAACCTATCTAAACTGTGGGATTCCCGTTCACCTGGTGGACGGGAAATTTGATTGGTTGATCAGCATCATGAAGGATTTTGATTGGTTGCAAGTTCACATAAACAACAGTTTTAAAAATAGCTCGGTCAAGGCGAAAATTAATATAAAGGTCAAACGCACGTAACAAATTCCATTATCGATTTCTTCGAATTTCTTTTCTTTTATGCTATATGGCAGAAAATAAATCAAACAAACAGTATTTTGAAAGGGCTTCATCAAAATCTTTGACGAATTTTGGAAACACACGACGCTGAAAAAACAGCCAAACTAGTCATGTATTCGAAAGCTTGTTGTTGACGGGCAAGATGTTCTGCCAACTTAATTGCTTCGCCGGCAAAAGTCTTATCTAATAAGGACTACTAGAGTCTGGAACACACTGCCAATGGATTTAACTATTAATAGCATGGCAACTTTAAAGGACTTTAAAAATAAGTTATTAATCTATTATAAAACAGCACTAGATAAATGTTATGACGTTGACGATCCACGAACATGGAAATCGGTTTGCTTAAAATGCAACCAAGCTCGCGACCTGACAAGGCCGATAAAGTGTTGTTTTTAGATTTAGTTTTCAGAAGTACCTTTTCACATTGGTATCTATGGGGCCTATTCAGGGTTTTGCTGAAGGTTTAGGGTTGTGAGGGTTTCAAACGTCTTCTGACTCAGTCAGCTTCCAAAAATGGAAGTGGTTCTGCGGGTCGCAATGTGAAAAGTTGCATCTGATCGTTCGTTAGTAATTGATTCTTTCTATGTACGTATATAGTGTATTTGTATAACATTTAGGGATCGCAGTAATTGGCGCAAGCTGTTGCGATTGCCCTGCCATTTTTTTTGTGTTAACGTTGTTTAAATCTGGCAAAGTTAATAAATTAAATTAAATTAAATTATTTTTAATATCAGGTCCTACCGGCGTTATTTTTAACATCAGGTCCTACCGGCGTTGTTTTCTGAGCTACATGGCCTTCTTCGTGGTACGATTTATATTTTCCTATTGTTTGAAGGCATGACGCGGAACGTCATGCTTCTGTGAGCATCAGTATAGAATATAGAAGGAAGTGATTATGATAGAATAATCCTTCAAGTTCTCGACAACTACAACCTGCACTTGACTGTGCTGCAGAATACTTTTTTTTAGTCATTACTTCGAAGTCTATTGCTATCTATTGGAGAAATGTCGACTTCCAGCCCAAGTGCAGATGGTCAATCTGAAGTTGGGCAAGTCTTTGAACAATTCAAAAGTTATATTGATACACGATTAAGCAATCTCGAGAATTCTTTACAATCGGCGAACCATGATCAACCTGAAACGAACGACATTCAAGCATCGACTAGGAAATTGCAACGAGAGGTAGACGCCTTAAAGTTTAAGTATAAGGCGAACGCCAAACAGTTTATCTATAATGCTGAAGTCGAAGATTTGGTTGGTTCCACAGTAGAACATTAGAGGAATATGTCTACAGTGGTTTACAAATTATTTACAGGAAAGCAGCCAAATTGTCAAATATAAGCAACATAGGTCAAATGAAATGGATGTTACGACTGGAGTCCCACAGGGTTCAATACTTGGACCACTCTTATTTCTAATATACATAAATGATATTGAAAATTGTAGTAACATCCTTTCTTTTGTTTTATATGCTGTTGATACAAATGTTCTTTGTTCAAATTCATGTTTAAAAACATTAGCTGACATTATACAAAAGGAAATGAATAAAATAGTGGCATGGCTAAATGCCAATAAATTATCAATCAACCCATCCAAAACAAAATTTATCATTTTTAAATCAAGAAATAAACCATTGAATCAAGACTAATTACTCTCAAAATAAATAACAATATTATTAAACAAGCATCTTATGTAAAGTTTTTGGGCGTATTAATTGACCACGAATTTTCATGGAAGAACCACATTAGCTCAGTTCAGAAAAATGTTATAAAATCCGCGGGTTTGATTGCAAAATTAAGACATTTTAATACCAAAAACAGTTTGAAATTGGTATATTATGCTTTAGTCTATCCATACCTCACGTACGGAAATCTAGTTTGGGGAAATACGTACCCAACCAGGCTTCAAAAGTTACTGAATGTGCAAAAGAAAATTGTTCGACTAATTAGTTTTAAATCCTATATGGAACATTCAAAACCACTATTTTTGGATTTGAAAATCTTGAACATCTACCAAATTAATGATTATTTATGTAGTTTATTCATGTATCGTCGCTACTATTGTCAAAATTTGCCGGACTTTTATAATGATTACTTCAAACAAAGTAACGATGTACACAACTGTAATACGCGAAATTCTACCAAGTTACATGTGAGTTATAAAAGAACAAACTACCGTATATACACTGTGTTTAACAAAGGAATTTCTTTATGGAATTTTCTTGATGACGAAATTAAAAATACTAAAACTTATTTTTCATTTAAGAGAAAAGCAAAATCCTTTTACTTATTATCTAATTAATGTAAATAAATTATAAAAACCTTAGCAATAGCCTTAGGAACACTAATGATAGTAATGTACTATTTTATTTCTTAGTTTTTTTTTCATCTTTCAATTTGTTGTAAATAGTTTCTGCTTGTATATAATTTCTTCTTTCATAGTCTTTTATTACTAGAATACTAAAACTAGGGGCCTTACTATAAAAGTCCAACAGGATTTCCAAAGGTCCCTAGCCCATTATACTACTGTAATTATTTTTTTACTGCTTGTATATATTTTGTGGACAAAAAAAGTTAATAATAATAATAATAACATCTCGAGAAAGAAAATCCTAGTTGTGAGCATGCAGGCGTTGGAATCCGCTAAAAAAGCTTTGGTATTGATACAGAAGCGCCAGAAGATGATTAAATTGGCCGATAAAGTGATGCGGGTTGGCTGGTCGTCGAGGAATATGACAGCGATGAATTGGCTGAAGATTTGGAAGACGACAAGAAAATCAGAAAGGCGCAAGATAAGAGCTGCCAGAATTAGAAAAAGCAATTGCTAAGAATAAGCGACAGCGAACGAACTCTTTGAGTTTTCCTACGGCTCGGTCTGAGGATCGTCCGCTTTTTCGAGGTAATTGTGTACAGGTCGCTTGCTTTCTTTGTAATTTCAAATAGGCTTGTTTGCCAATTTAAGACAAGGCTAGCCTATAATAACAAAACTAGTTTGGTTATTGTATTGTGTACAGAGGAATGGCGAATTAATAGGAAAATGCTTTTCATTCGGAGGAATAGCATGAGGAAGAATGAAATGAGAATTTCATTGTTGCTGTTGTTAGCCCGTTAGTCGTTAGAGTATATCCGCGTCCAGCAAGTTGAGATCTTGAGAAAGCTTGGCAGTCAAGCCGTGCACAGAACTAACTAATTAAATCTTTGTTTGCTGTTCGCCTGTTCGGTTAAATAGAGAAACTGACTCTTAATTATATAAAAGGACCTTGAATTTTTAAGTTTAAAAAGCAAAATGCTCTGCGGACATATTCATGAGAATATAAATTTTTGTGTAACGAAATCTACAACGCTTGTCAATCATATTGCATGTGTGTCTAAAAATAACATGTGGGCGTCCTACGGTCTAGACAGGTTTTGTGTCAGGCCCTATTTCAAATTAGGAACTTGAACTTCAGGTTAGATATTGCCACGCAACCCGATTATAAATCACGTACAATGACGCGAGAAGGCGTAGGCAAGTCGCCACGTCAGGTCATATAAGTCCATTCGTTAATATTCTAACAAACACAAATGGTCACGCAGGTGGGACGACGTTTTGATTTCACACTTGTGGTATAGGGATTTTGACGTGGATTAATATATCGAGCCATATTAAATGTAAGTTAGTTGGTTGATATGTTAAGGAGAGTTATATCCGTTGGTTCATTTTTAAATAGAAAGTTTCCTCAATATCTGTTGGCCCCATGAGGACCGTAGTTGAGTGTAATTTTAAACTAGTGCATGGATACAATCCTTAGCCCAAAATGCATCATCACGCCCAGTTCTTTTGATGTACGAAAAAAATTTTGTTCACTTTTTGTCTGTGGAAATAATTGTAGACCGGTATTGTAAATTTCGAATGTGAATTTTATACAGTTTGCGAAAAAGGTAACTATTGTGGCATTGGCACTCTGGCAGGAATCGAATCTGCGGTTACATGGTCGGTAATATTATACATAAAGATATTACTCGACTGTGATTGGTTGATTTCAGTGCAGTTAATCCCAAACAGCAGTGCAATTTTTTTGTAATCACAGTGCAATTTTCAGTAATCACAGTGCAATTTTTTGTAATCACGGTGCAATTTTCTGTAATCACAGTGCAAAAATCTGTAACAAACTGATCTGATTGGTGGAAAAAGATTGCGATGACTAAATCAACCAATCAGTTCAAAGCAATTTAGTTTAAAGAAGTAACGGTCACAGATTGCTTCAAAACAAAACAAACATGTCGCCGCGCTACACAAAGTAAAGTTGCCTTCGCGTGGAAAATATGGCTTTTATCTTTATTTTTAAATGGAAAAGCATTTACCTTAACCATGACTAACAAAAATTACATAGTTGAGTGGAATTTTCAAGCTGTTAGCGTTGTATAATGTGATATAACAAAGCCAGGAAAATTTTGCCAGTGGAATGTTCGCTGCATTAAACGTAAGGTAAAACTCACAATTGTCTCGAACATTTTTATGTAAATTATTAATAAGTAATAGCATGGTTTCTCGTGAAATTTGGATAAACATGCACTCGTGAGTTTTTCAAAGACCTCAAATAGCACTCGTCCTTCGGACTCGTGCTACTTTGAGGTCTTTGAAAAACTCACTCGTGCATGTTATATCCAAATTGCACTCGAAACCAAGCTATTACCTATACTAATCGAACCTGCGGTTCTTGAAAATAGCGTGTTCGTGTGTGAATGACGTTTACCGCGCAGACCACCAATCGCAAACTTCAAATTGTATAAAAAAAAATGCTAAATAAAGCCTATAATTATTATTAGATCGACTGACGCTGTAAGACGTTTTTGAGGGATCGGTCATTATTTATAGTGGGGAGTGGCACCGAAGAGAAATATTTTTCGTGGGAAAAATTTTGCTGACCCGCAAACATTAGAATGTCAAAAATTTGATTACCCAACCTCGACTGAATATCAATTAAAAAATAAATACCCACCCCAGGTCTGAAGGCCCAAAAATTTACAAAACGATATCATTCAGTTGTCACACATATCCTTTACCACTCCTGTTACATGAGTTCGATGATGGCTTTTCGTGTTGTCTGCACATGTACTTTTTTGGGGGCCACCATTTGTCTCCCAACAAATCGGAAAATGATCAAGGTAGTGACTTTGATTGATTCATATATGTCATATTGTATCATAGTTAATAATATCTATGTATATAATCAACGTTTATTGATAAATATATAGGCCTGCTCCTTCACCGTGACGTTAACGTGCAATTGCTAATTGTATTTTTGCGCAACCAACCAATAGCAATGTTTTAGGAAAGTCACCTATATCCGTGACTCGAACAATAGGATAAATTGGAAATTGCTATTGTTGGATTTGGCAAAAATACAATACACACGTAATGGTGAAGGAAAATATTTATGAATAAACGTTGGCTAACATCGATAATGGTTACATTGTTATTCTAATGAGTTTCTAAACAATCTATCTATTTTTTTTATTTTTTTTTTAATTTGTCACTTTATACACGATACAAACTAATTAAAGACAAATAAAGACAGATACAAATCGTGAAAGGGGAAAGGAACAGGACTCTCGTCCCAATTGACACCTAACCCCTATTAACTATATGCATGATTGTATTGACCTATGACTGCTGAAATTGCTTTTTGGTCTCCAATATTTCAGTCAGTCATGCTTTGCAAATGACAATCTCTTTTTATTACCCAACCCTTCAGTTGTTTTGTTTTTCATTTACCCAACCTTTTGCTCATTCAAGATTTTGTTTACCTACCCATTTTCTCTTCGGTGCAACTCCTCGCCATAAATAATCACCATGAGTCCCTAAAACTCCATTTACACTACGCTCAATTTTTGTGTGACACGGATAAAATTGGTACCCGTACCACTTTTTTGGTTTTTGGACTATCTATTTAGATAGTCCCAGAACCAAAAAAATGGTACGGTACCAAAAGTCGAGCGTAGTGTAAACGGGACTTAAATGCATGGTTTTACAAATTTATGCTTTTAAAGCTGCTGTGTTTTTTATGCAATTCCTGTCCCCCAATTCCAGGTTTAACACAAAGCTTGATTCTGTTTCTCTTTTACAATAGTTATTTCAAGTGCGAATTAAGTAGTAATCAGTAATCTACTTAAACTTCAAAGCCCTTGCTATCATGAAGAAGTTTTCGATCACATCCATCGTTCTAAAATGGTATTACTTCTGGTCCGTAGGGAGTTTGGTTCTATACTCAGAATTCAGTAATATATACATGAAAC